CAGGGGAGCGTCCAGACTAGCGCACTGAGCGGACAAACAGCTGATCAGCTGTTTGTTGGCTCAGCGCGGCAGCCATGTAAATTTAAATGAAGCCACGATCATTTAAATCGCGGCTTCATTTGCCTTCGCCTACAACCCTCATCTACATGTCTCCATCGATGGAGCCATGTAGTCTAGACAGAGCCTCCCTGACTAGGTGATCTTAATTTCCATAGGCAACATTAACAAACTGATAACATGCTCCACTCTTTGCTGATAATCACAATAAAGACAAATAGATACTTCAAACCCAAGCTCTCCCATTATTCCACACACTATAAATAAACAATGAAATAACAACCGTATGGGTCAGCAACTTGATTTTCACTTTTCATGTTTCATGATGAAAAAATTAAAGATATCCTTTGAGAATGCGGGGATTCTTTGAAATATAAAACACCTATCAGTATGTACAATAATGATTGTTTTCCCCATTCCAATTATTCGGAAGCAGGATTTTCAGAAACTTTCACTTATTCAGGGTGCCTGTGGACCAGTATGAAAATATGGATCTTTAATTCTCTCTGTGCCCACCTCTGAATTTGAGTACTCATACTTGCCTGCCATGTACAAAATTTATTAAAATTTGTAGGTCCTTATATACACCTCTTCAACAGTCTACCTCTGAGCACCTGAAAAACTTTGTTTTGATTGTCATAACTTCCATTTTAGGTAGCATGATATTATCTCCATTTCAGAAATGATGAGCTGAGGCACAGAGAAAGTTCATGTCTTGCTTCAAGGTCAGACAAGAGGTCTTCAGTAAAGCCAGGAACTAAGCCCCAAATTATAGCGTTCTAAGGTAATGCTCTACCTACTAGATAATGCTTCTCATGCCAATAGAGAAACAGTTGTGTAAAACCATTGTGTAAAAGAGTCGTGACACAGCTTCTCTTTCTCTGAAGAAAGCTCATAATCTGCTGATCATCATTGTTCTGGTAAACTGTGTGTAGCAACATTCTATATAAAATTGTAAGATTCTACTGTAAAATGAATTGAGCTGTTGTGACTTCAGAAAAGCAGGGACAAAGCGTTTTCTTAGAGTCAAATATCAAATTGGTTACTCGGCCAGAGGTCAACCAGGTTAAATGATATATCGCCTGGTGAAGAAGCTATTATTGGGCAGGAAGAAGGGTTTGAGGGAGAAATCTACATTTTGACAAACAAGCAGCTAGAGTTTTCTTTCCCTTCAGACATTGTCTTAAAAACCGCAAGCTGAAGCTGTTTCTTGCAAAAGAGAAATGACCATGAGAAGCAAAGGCACATACCTGAAATGTACTATCCCTTCCTTTCTCTATGCTCACAACATCAAAAACAATCTGGTGTAAAGGATTTGGACTGAAACATTGGACTAGAGAGGGCTGGTTGAAAGGCATTCAGCTGGTATTGCAGCAGTAGGTGCAATCTTTGCTTTGAATTCCTTTAGCCT